CGTGTGCAAAATAGCAAGAACAAGGGCATAGCGTGTGCAAAATTGCAAGAACAAGGGTCTAGCGTGTGGAAAATAGCAAGAACAAGGCCCTAGCATGTGAAAAATTGCAAGAACAAGGGCCTAGCGTTCAAAATTGCAACAACAAGGGCCTAGCATGTGCAAAATTGCAAGAACAAGGGCCTAGTGTGTGCAAAATTGCAAGAAGAAGTGTCTAGCGTGTGCAAAATAGCAAGAACAAAGGCATAGCTTGTGCAAAATTGCAAGAACAAGGGTCTAGCGTGTGCAAAATAGCAAGAACAAGGGCCTAGCGTGTGCAAACTTGCAAGAGCAAGGGCATAGCGTGTGCAACATTGCAAGAACAAGCGTCTAGCGTGTGCAAAATAGCAAGAACAAGGGCCTAGCGTGTGCAAAATTGCAAGAACAAGGGACTAGCGTGTGCAAAATTGCAAGAACAAGGGCCTAGAGTACAAAAATGCATGAACAAGGGCCTAGCATGCAAAATTGCAAGAACAAGGGCCTAGCGTGTGCAAAATTGCAACAACAAGGGCCTAGCGTGTGCAAAATTGCAAGAACAAGGGCCTAGTGTGTGCAAAATTGCAAGAACAAGGGTCTAGCGAATGCAAAATAGCAAAAACAAAGGCATAGCTTTTGCAAAATTGCAAGAACAAGGGTCTAGCATGTGCAAAATAGCAAGAACAAGGGCCTAGCGTGTACAAAATTGCAAGAACAAGGGCCTAGCGTGTGCAAAATTGCAAGAACAAGGGTATAGCGTGTGCAAAATAGCAAGAACAAGGGCCTAGCGTGTGCAAAATAGCAAGAACAAGGGCATAGCGTGTGCAAAATTGCAAGAACAAGGGTCTAGCGTGTGGAAAATAGCAAGAACAAGGCCCTAGCATGTGAAAAATTGCAAGAACAAGGGCCTAGCGTTCAAAATTGCAACAACAAGGGCCTAGCATGTGCAAAATTGCAAGAACAAGGGCCTAGTGTGTGCAAAATTGCAAGAAGAAGTGTCTAGCGTGTGCAAAATAGCAAGAACAAAGGCATAGCTTGTGCAAAATTGCAAGAACAAGGGTCTAGCGTGTGCAAAATAGCAAGAACAAGGGCCTAGCGTGTGCAAACTTGCAAGAGCAAGGGCATAGCGTGTGCAACATTGCAAGAACAAGCGTCTAGCGTGTGCAAAATAGCAAGAACAAGGGCCTAGCGTGTGCAAAATTGCAAGAACAAGGGACTAGCGTGTGCAAAATTGCAAGAACAAGGGCCTAGAGTACAAAAATGCATGAACAAGGGACTAGCGTGTGCAAAATTGCAAGAACAAGGGCCTAGCGTGTGCAAAATTGCAACAACAAGGGCCTAGCGTGTGCAAAATTGCAAGAACAAGGGCCTAGTGTGTGCAAAATTGCAAGAACAAGGGTCTAGCGAATGCAAAATAGCAAAAACAAAGGCATAGCTTTTGCAAAATTGCAAGAACAAGGGTCTAGCATGTGCAAAATAGCAAGAACAAGGGCCTAGCGTGTACAAAATTGCAAGAACAAGGGCCTAGCGTGTGCAAAATTGCAAGAACAAGGGTATAGCGTGTGCAAAATAGCAAGAACAAGGGCCTAGCGTGTGCAAAATTGCAAGAACAAGGGCATAGCGTGTGCACAATTGCAAGAAGAAGGGCCTAGTGTGTCCAAAATTGCAAGAACAAGGGCATAGCGTGTGCAACATTGCAAGAACAAGGGCATAGCGTGTGCAACATTGCAAGAACAAGCGTCTAGCGTGTGCAAAATAGCAAGAACAAGGGCCTAGCGTGTGCAAAATTGCAAGAACAAGGGCCTAGCGTGTGCAAAATTGCAAGAACAGGGGCCTAGCGTACAAAATTGCAAGAACAATGGCCTAGCGTGCAAAATTGCAAGAACAAGGGCCTAGCGTGTGCAAAATTGCAACAACAAGGGCCTAGCGTGTGCAAAATTGCAAGAACAAGGGCCTAGTGTGTGCAAAATTGCAAGAACAAGGGTCTAGCGAATGCAAAATAGCAAAAACAAAGGCATAGCTTGTGCAAAATTGCAAGAACAAGGGTCTAGCATGTGCAAAATAGCAAGAAAAAGGGCCTAGCGTGTGCAAACTTGCAAGAACAAGGGCCTAACGTGTGCAATATTGCAAGAACAAGGGCCTAGCGTGTGGAAAATAGCAAGAACAAGGACCTAGCATGTGCAAAATTGCAAGAACAAGGGTCTAGCGTGTGCAAAATAGTAAGAACAAGGGCCTAGCGTGTACAAAATTGCAAGAACAAGGGCCTAGCGTGTGCAAAATTGCAAGAACAAGGGTCGAGCGTGTGCAAAATAGCAAGAACAAGGGCCTAGCGTGCGCAAAATTGCAAGAACAAGGGCATAGCGTGTACAAAATAGTAAGAACAAGGGTCTAGCGTGTGCAAAATAGCAAGAACAAGGGCATAGCGTGTGCAAAAATGCAAGAACAAGGGTCTAGCGTGTGCAAAATTGCAAGAACAAGGGCCTAGCGTGTACAAAATTTCAAGAACAAGGGCCTAGCGTGTGCAAAATTGCAAGAACAAGGGTCTAGCGTGTGTAAAATAGCAAGAACAAGGGCATAGCGTGTGCAGCATTGCAAGAACAAGGGTCTAGCGTGTGCAAAATAGCAAGAACAAGGGCCTAGCGTGTGCAGATTGCAAGAACAAGGGCCTAGCGTGTGCAAAATTGCAAGAACAAGGGCCTAGAGTACAAAATTGCAAGAACAAGGGCCTAGAGTACAAAATTGCATGAACAAGGGCCTAGCGTGCAAAATTGCAAGAACAAGGGCCTAGCGTGTGCAAAATTGCAACAACAAGGGCCTAGCGTGTGCAAAATTGCAAGAACAAGGGCCTAGTGTGTGCAAAATTGCAAGAACAAGGGTCTAGCGAATGCAAAATAGCAAAAACAAAGGCATAGCTCTTGCAAAATTGCAAGAACAAGGGTCTAGCATGTGCAAAATAGCAAGAACAAGGGCCTAGCGTGTACAAAATTGCAAGAACAAGGGCCTAGCGTGTGCAAAATTGCAAGAACAAGGGTATAGCGTGTGCAAAATAGTAAGAACAAGGGCCTAGCGTGTGCAAAATTGCAAGAACAAGGGCATAGCGTGTGCACAATTGCAAGAAGAAGGGCCTAGTGTGTGCAAAATTGCAAGAACAAGGGCATAGCGTGTGCAACATTGCAAGAACAAGGGCATAGCGTGTGCAACATTGCAAGAACAAGCGTCTAGCGTGTGCAAAATAGCAAGAACAAGGGCCTAGCGTGTGCAAAATTGCAAGAACAAGGGCCTAGCGTGTGCAAAATTGCAAGAACAAGAACCTAGCGTACAAAATTGCAAGAACAAGGGCCTAGCGTGCAAAATTGCAAGAACAAGGGCCTAGCGTGTGCAAAATTGCAACAACAAGGGCCTAGCGTGTGCAAAATTGCAAGAACAAGGGCCTAGTGTGTGCAAAATTGCAAGAACAAGGGTCTAGCGAATGCAAAATAGCAAAAACAAAGGCATAGCTTGTGCAAAATTGCAAGAACAAGGGTCTAGCATGTGCAAAATAGCAAGAAAAAGGGCCTAGCGTGTGCAAACCTGCAAGAACAAGGGCCTAACGTGTGCAATATTGCAAGAACAAGGGCCTAGCGTGTGGAAAATAGCAAGAACAAGGACCTAGCGTGTGCAAAATTGCAAGAACAAGGGTCTAGCGTGTGCAAAATAGTAAGAACAAGGGCCTAGCGTGTACAAAATTGCAAGAACAAGGGCCTAGTGTGTGCAAAATTGCAAGAACAAGGGTCAAGCGTGTGCAAAATAGCAAGAACAAGGGCCTAGCGTGCGCAAAATTGCAAGAACAAGGGCATAGCGTGTACAAAATAGTAAGAACAAGGGTCTAGCGTGTGCAAAATAGCAAGAACAAGGGCATAGCGTGTGCAAAATTGCAAGAACAAGGGTCTAGCGTGTGCAAAATTGCAAGAACAAGGGCCTAGCGTGTACAAAATTTCAAGAACAAGGGCCTAGCGTGTGCAAAATTGCAAGAACAAGGGTCTAGCGTGTGTAAAATAGCAAGAACAAGGGCATAGCGTGTGCAGCATTGCAAGAACAAGGGTCTAGCGTGTGCAAAATAGCAAGAACAAGGGCCTAGCGTGTGCAGATTGCAAGAACAAGGGCCTAGCGTGTGCAAAATTGCAAGAACAAGGGCCTAGCGTGAAAATTTGCAAGAACAAGGGCCTAGCGTGCAAAATTGCAAGAACAAGGGCCTAGCGTGTGCAAAATTGCAACAACAAGGGCCTAGCGTGTGCAAAATTGCAAGAACAAGGGCCTAGTGTGTGCAAAATTGCAAGAACAAGGGTCTAGCGTGTGCAAAATAGCAAGAACAAAGGCATAGCTTGAGCAAAACTGCAAGAACAAGGGTCTATCGTGTGCAAAATAGCAAGAACAAGGGCCTAGCGTGTGCAAACTTGCAAGAACAAGGGCCTAGCATGTGCAAAATTGCAAGAACAAGGGCCTAGCGTGTGCAAAATAGCAAGAACAAGAGCCGAGCATGTGCAAAATTGCAAAAACAAGGGCCTAGCGTGTGCAAAATAGCAAGAACAAGGGCCTAGCGTGTGCAAAATTGCAAGAACAAGGGTCTAGCGTGTGCAAAATAGCAAGAACAAGGGCATAGCGTGTGCAAAATTGCAAGAACAAGGGTCTTGCGTGTGCAAAATAGCAAGAACAAGGGCCTAGCGTGTGCAAAATTGCAAGAACAAGGGTCTAGCGTGTGCAAAATTGCAAGAACAAGGGTCTTGCGTGTGCAAAATAGCAAGAACAAGGGCCTAGCGTGTACAAAATTGCAAGAACAAGGGTCTAGCGTCTGCAAAATAGCAAGAACAATGGCCTAGCGTGTGCAAAATTGCAAGAACAAGGGCATAGCGTGTACAACATTGCAAGAACAAGGGTCTACCGTGTGCAAAATAGCAAGAACAAGGGCATAGCGTGTGCAAAATAGCAAGAACAAGGGCATAGCGTGTGCAATGGACATGGACGTGGACGTGGACGTGGACGTGGACGTGGACATGGACGTGGACATGGACGTGGACGTGGACGTGGACATGGACGTGGACGTGGACGTGGACGTGGAGGTGGATATGGACGTGGACATGGACGTGGACATGGACGTGGATGTGGACATGGACGTGGACGTAGACAGGGACGTGGACGTGGACGTCGACATGGACATGGACGTGGACGTGGACGTGGACGTGGACGTGGACGTGGTCGTGGACGTGGACGTGGACGTGGACATGGACGTGAACGTGGACGTGGACGTGGACATGGACGTGGACGTGGACGTGGACGTGGATATGGACGTGGACATGGACGTGGACATGGACGTGGACGTGGACATGGATGGGACGTGGACAGGGACGTGGACGTGGACGTGGACTGCAATGGACGTGGACGTGGACGTGGACGTGGACGTGGACATGGACGTGGACGTGGACGTGGACATGGACGTAGACGTGGATGTGGACGTGGACGTGGACGTGGAAGTGGACGTGGCTGGGACATGGACGTGGACGTGGACGTGGACATAGACGTGGACGTAGACGTGGACGTGGATGTGGACGTGGACATGGACGTGGACATGGACGTGGACGTGGACGTGGACATGGACGTGGACGTGGACGTGGACGTGGACATGGATGTAGACGTAGACGTGAACGTGGACGTGGAAGTGGATGTGGCTGGGACGTGGACGTGGACGTGGACATAGACGTGGACGTGGACGTGGACATGGACGTGGACATGGACGTGGACGTGGACGTGGACATGGACGTGGACGTGGACGTGGATGTGGACGTGGACATGGACGTGGACGTGGACGTGGACGTCGACGTGGACCTGCACGTGGACGTGGACGTGGACGTGGACGTGGACGTGGACGTTGACCTGGACGTGGACGTGGACCTGGACATGGACGTGGACATGGACATAGACGTGGACATGGACGAGGACGTGGACATTGTCGTGGACCTGGACATTGCCTTGGACGTGGACATGGACGTGGACGTGGACGTGGTCGTGGACGTCGACGTGGACGAAGTGGTCGTGGACGTGGACGTGGACATGGACGCGGACCTGGACGTGGACGTGGACATGGATGTGGACGTGCACGTGGACATGGAGGTGGATGTGGACGTGGACATAGACGTGGACGTGGATGTGGACTTGGACGTGGACATGGACGTGGACGAGGACGTGGACGTGGACATGGACGACATGGACGTGGACGTGGACGTGGACGTGGACATTGTTGTGGACGTGGACGTGGACGTGGACGTGAACGTGGACGTGGACGTGGACGACGTGGACCTGGACGTGGACGTGGACGTGGACATGGACGTGGACGTGGATGTGGACGTGGACATAGACGTGGACGTGGACATGGACGTGGACGTGGACGTGGACGTGGACATGGACGTGGACGTGGACATGGACGTGAACGTGGACATGGACGTGGACGTGGACGTGGACATGGACGTGGACGTGGACGTGGACGTGGGGACATGGACGTGGACGTGGACGTGGACATGGACTTGGACGTGGACGTGGACGTGAACGTGGACATGGACGTGGACGTGGACGTGGAGGACTTGGACGTGGACATGGACGTGGACGTGGACGTGGACGTGGACATGGACGTGGACGTGGACGTGGACGTGGACGTGGACATGGACGTGGAGGTGGACATGGACGTGGACGTGGACAGGGACGTGGACGTGGACGTGGACATGGACGTGGCCGTGAACGTAGACGTGGACGTGGACGTGGACATGGACGTGCACATGGACGTGGACGTGGACGTGGACGTGGTCGTCGACATGGACGTGGACGTGGACATGGACGTGGACGTGGACGTGGACGTGGACGTGGACATGGACGTGGACGTGGACGTGGACATGGACGTGGACGTGGACGCGGACATGGACATGGACGTGGACATGGATGTGGAAGTGGACGTGGACGTGGACATGGAGATGGACGTGGACGTGGACGTGGACGTGGACGTGGACGTGGACATGGACGTAGACGTGGAAGTGGACATGTACGTGGACGTGGAAGTGGACGTGGACATGGATGTGGACGTGGACATGGACGTAGACGTGGAAGTGGACATGTACGTGGACGTGGAAGTGGACGTGTCTGGGACGTGGACATGGACGTGGATGTGGACGTGGCTGGGACGCGGACGTGGACGTGGACGTGGATGTGGACATGGACGTGGACGTGGACGTGGACGTGGACGTGGACATAGACGTGGACGTGGACGTGGACGTGGACATGGTCTTGGATGTGGACGTGGAGGTGGATGTGGACGTGGACATGGATGTGGACGTGGACATGGACGTGGACGTGGAAAGGGAGGTGGACGTGGACGTGGACGTGAACATGGACGTGGACGTGGACATGGACGTGGACGTGGAAAGGGACGTGGACGTGGACGTGGACGTCGACGTGGACGTGGACGTGGACATGGACGTGGACGTGGACGTGGACGTGGACGTGGACGTGGACATGCACGTGGACGTGGACGCGGACGTGGACCTGGACGTGGACGTGGATGTGGACGTGGATGTGGACGTGGACCTGGACATGGACGAGGACGTGGATTTAGACGTGGATATGGACGTGGACGTGGACATGGACGTAGACGTGGAAGTGGACATGTACGTGGACGTGGAAGTGGACGTGGCTGGGACGTGGACATGGACGTGGATGTGGACGTCGCTGGGACGTGGACGTGGACGTGGACGTGGACATGGACATGGACGTGGACGTGGACGTGGACGTGGACGTGGACATAGACGTGGACGTGGACGTGGACGTGGACATGGTCTTGGATGTGGATGTGGAGGTGGACGTGGACGTGGACATGGATGTGGACGTGGACATGGACGTGGACGTGGAAAGGGAGGTGGACGTGGACGTGGACGTGAACATGGACGTGGACGTGGACATGGACGTGGACGTGGAAAGGGACGTGGACGTGGACGTGGACGTCGACGTCGACGTGGACGTGGACATGGACGTGGACGTGGACGTGGACGTGGACGTGGTCATGGACATGGACGTGGACATGGACATGGACGTGGACGTGGACAGGGACGTGGACGTGGACGTCGACATGGACGTTGACGTGGACGTGAACGTGGACGTGGACGTGGACGTGGACATGGACGTGGACATGGACGTGGACGTGGACGTGGACGTGGACGTGGTCGTAGACATGGACGTGGACGTGGACGTGGACATGGACGTGGAAGTGGACGTGGACGTGGACATGGACGTGGACGTGGACGTGGACGTGGACATGGACGCGGACGTGGATGTGGACATGGACGTGGACATGGACATGGACGTGGACGTGGACGTGGACGTCGACATAGACGTGGACGTGGACGTGGACATGGACATGGACGTGGACGTGGACGTGGACGTGGACGTGGTCATGGACGTAGACGTGGAAGTGGACGTGTACGTGGACGTGGAAGTGAACGTGGCTGGGACGTGGACGTGGACGTGGACGTGGACATAGACGTGGACGTAGACGTGGACGTGTACGTGGACGTGGACATGGACGTGGACGTGGACGTGGACATGTACGTGGACGTGGACGTGGATGAGGACATGGACGTGGACGTGGACGTGGACGTGGACATGCACGTGGACGTGGACGCAAACGTGGACCTGGACGTGGACGTGGATGTGGACGTGGATATGGACGTGGACCTGGACATGGACGAGGACGTGGATTTAGACGTGGATAAGGACGTGGCCGTGGACGTGGACATTGTCGTGGACGTGGACATTGTCTTGGACGTGGACGTGGACGTGGACGTGGACGTGGATGTGGTCGTGGACGTCGACGTGGACGAAGTGGTCGGCGACGTGGACGTGGACATGGACGTGGACCTGGACGTGGACGTGGACATGGACGTGGACGTGGACGTGGAAATGGAGGTGGATATGGACGTGGACATAGACGTCGACGTGGACGTGGACATGGACGTGGACATGGACGTGGACATGGACGTGGACGTGGACGACATGGACGTGGACGTGGACGTGGACATTGTCGTGGACGTGGACGTGGACGTGGACGTGAACGTGGACGTGGACGTGGACGTGGACGTGGACGACGTGGACCTGGACGTGGACGTGGACGTGGACGTGGACGTGGACGTGGAGATTGACGTAGACATGGACGTGGACGTGGACGTGGACGTGGACATGGACGTGGACGTGGACATAGACGTGGACGTGGACATGGATGTGGACGTGGAAAGGGAGGTGGACGTGGACGTGGACGTGAACATGGACGTGGACGTGGACATGGACGTGGACGTGGAAAGGGACGTGGACGTGGACGTGGACGTCGACGTCGACGTGGACGTGGACATGGACGTGGACGTGGACGTGGACGTGGACGTGGTCATGGACATGGACGTGGACATGGACATGGACGTGGACGTGGACAGGGACGTGGACGTGGACGTCGACATGGACGTTGACGTGGACGTGAACGTGGACGTGGACGTGGACGTGGACATGGACGTGGACATGGACGTGGACGTGGACGTGGACGTGGACGTGGTCGTAGACATGGACGTGGACGTGGACGTGGACATGGACGTGGAAGTGGACGTGGACGTGGACATGGACGTGGACGTGGACGTGGACGTGGACATGGACGCGGACGTGGATGTGGACATGGACGTGGACATGGACATGGACGTGGACGTGGACGTGGACGTCGACATAGACGTGGACGTGGACGTGGACATGGACATGGACGTGGACGTGGACGTGGACGTGGTCATGGACGTAGACGTGGAAGTGGACGTGTACGTGGACGTGGAAGTGAACGTGGCTGGGACGTGGACGTGGACGTGGACGTGGACATAGACGTGGACGTAGACGTGGACGTGTACGTGGACGTGGACATGGACGTGGACGTGGACGTGGACAT